GAATTAAAGAGCCTGCCCACAATTGGTTTTGCTGTTTTGGCGAAGAAGACCCCAGTTCAGCTTCCGCTGAGTGGACAAGCACCGAAAGATCGCTTCACCGCTCTGGTCCCCATGGCTGTGCATTCTGCCCTCGCTGCAGCCGAGGCTGTTCGTCAAACAATGATTTCTGTGGAGATCGGCCGGTTGCGTGAGGCCTCGGATCTGTGTAACAGGTGAGCGCTTACCTTCGCCAAAAGCCCTGAATCAATGAGACTCAGTTTCTCGCCCTGTTTGCGTGCACGTTGACAAAGTTGCGCGGATAGCTATTTACTCTGAGCGTCTGTCGAAGAAAGTATTGCAGATCGACACCCTTGTCCGCTGGTTCACTGCAGCGCGTCTTAACATGCTGTTACAACGCCCCTACGCAACTGCGTTTGCGATTGATTGGATGGCTGCTGTTGAAACGCAGTGCTTGTATCGTATTTGTCGCTGGTCTGATGATTTGCGCTTTTAGGCTACCACAGTCTTTACGGCCGATGAGGACATCAAGAAAGGTCAGCTGGTTGTATGTCCGGGATACGGCGTTGAGACGTTCTTTGCTTTTCGGTATCTGATTCCGTTCGATGAAGAGGAACGTATCCTGCAAATAACAAGCCCAGGCTCTCGGTTTATGGTGTTCGAAGATTAGCACTCCAATCGTTGCAGAACCTCCACTATGAGTCTTGAGATCGGTGAACTTATCAACGTGCCTCTCATTTGCTCGTACATCTTTACGTCGAACGTGAAAAATGTCTTAAAACAGAATCGTTGGATTCGGCAGGTTTGAGTATGCCCGAGGCAATTCTCCGTTTCTCGGTATTGGTTTCGCAGGAGTACTTCGATGTTCTCGACCGCCAGGCTAGGGAATAGAAGTAAGGAGGGACATCAAATCAATAAACACTATGGCATCGCCCCGCAGGAGACCTAACTCTTTAAGTTTCTCCAAGCATCGTGTTGATGTGCTTATTATGGTGTCTGAAGCAGCGGTAATATCATTTTAACAGCCAATTGTCCAGTCCGTATTTTGAAGTATCTTTGAATTATGCGATGGGCCGGAGAAGAGTGCCCTGTCTGTGCCCTT